GCACAGGGGAGCGAATGTGTCTGCGTGAAGGAATGGATTCATAGCCACCCGCGATCTAAATAGAATTTCTCCGCCTATGGAGAGAGTGGTCCCAGGAGACCCACCCACGATACTCGCCAGAAACAGAACTAGAGAGGCTTGCAGTTCTGTTGAGTAGATGCAAATGAGTTTAATGAAAGTAACTCTGGCGATTCGTTTTGCATTGTGTCTCCCGGAGGGGAGGAACTTGAGAGAGTGATTGAGCACACACACACACACACACACACACACACACACACACACACGGTGAGGAGGAACTTGAACACACACACACACACACACACACACACAGGGTGAGGAGGAACTTGAGAGAGGGATTGAAGTGAGCACACACACACACACACACACACACACACACACACACACACACACACACACACCCAGGGTGAGTATCTCAATTGCCTTTGCTGGTTTAAGAATCATTTCAAGCACATTAGAACTGAATGAATTTCACAATGATACCACATACCAACACCTAGATTTACAAGTGACAGTTACTAAACTTGATAATAAAAAACATTTAACTGCCCCTCTCTATTCACCAACCTATTCAGTTAGGATGTGTTTTGAAAGGTTGTAGACATCGCCACACTTCACCCCCTCTCCACCCAGTGCTGTCCCTATTAAGAGTTCCACACTCAGATTTTGCTTTTGTGGTAAAATCTGCATAAATGACATGCAAATGTACCATTAGATGAGTTCTGACAAATACATGCATTTTTGGGAACCTCCCTCCTCATCTAAGGGCCAACAACTGACCAAAGCTCCTGCAAATAGCTTCCCAGCAAATCCTCACCCACATTCTTGCAGAGGTAAGCATGGGTCTGCCTTTTTTCCCTCTACCCTGGATTATTTCTCCTTTATAAAACTCCTTTTTGCCTATTCGGGTCTCCGGACTTATGAGAGACATAATCGTCTTGTGTAAAGTGTGTGTCTAAGCCTATCCATGTTACATGTCCTAGTCGTCGTTTTATTGGCTCTTTATTGTTTGGATATGCCATATTTTTATTCATGCTTTGTGACAGAAACCAGGAATGTGAGAAAATGCCACTATCATAAATAAAACTGTTAGGAAACATGAATTCAGTTAAAAAAATAAAACTGTTATCGACATTCATCAACAGTTTATGGATATGTTTCTTATCTTTTGTGCAAACACCTAGCAGTGAAGTGCTGAGTCATATATAAGATGTGTTTAGTGCCTGAATCATTTCAGAGTAGCTCTACTAACTCACAATGCAGTGTCCACATCCTTATAGACACTTGGCAGTAGCAGCCATTTTAGTTCGTTTTAAGCCCATTGTGCAACTGACGCATAAACTTATCTCATTGGGGTTTTGTGTTTTCTGGATGCCTACTATATTGGACATTTGTAGCCCTTTGTAAATGGTGGGAACAGTTTACCCGCTTAGAAAATTGGTCTTAGGGCTGAGAAGATGGTTCAGTAAAGTGTTCATCTCACAGGTGTGATGACTAGAGTTCAGAGCTCCAAAATACACACACACACACACACACACACACACACACACACACACACACACACACAAGAGCATTGTTGTTTATATCTGAAATTCCAGCACCCCTGGGCAAGTGGGAACAGGTGGAGCTAACTAGCCAATCTTCCCAGGCAAATCAGTGAGCTCCAGGTTGAGTGAGAGCCCCTGCCTCAAAAATACGATAGAGAGCAACTCAGACACCCAATGTTGACCTCTGAATCCCACATGCATGCATGCATGCAAGTGCATACACACACACAACATATATATAAAAATTGATCCCTATTAATGAGCTGTAGTGTTTATCTAGGATGCTAGTCCTTTCTTAGACATGTATTTTGCAACATTATGTTCTCATCTCTGGAATACCCATTTAAATGGTTTTGAAAATGTTTTCTGACAAAGATTTTAGTTTTGGTAAATTCCAGTTCTTCAGTCTGTAACATTTGATACCCTTTGTACATTAAGAAATTATTGCTGCTTCCAAGGTTATGTGTTTTGTCTCTCTCCCCTAGTTTGCATAATTGGGTCTGTGTGGTGTAGATCCAGTTTCTTTCTTTACTGTGCCAATCATTCTATTCAAAAGGATATCCACCTTTTTCTAATGCCATTTATTGAGAAGGAAAGCAGAATGCATTTACTTCAGGAATCTTTTATTTTGTCTGAATTTGTCCAGTCATTATGCCAAAAAAGAAGCATTGAAATTGATTTTTAGGTCTTGAAGTCAAGAAATGCAAGGTTTGCACCTTAGCTTTCTCAATTTTCTTTGCATATAGTAAGTTGTTTCCATTTTAAAAATCAAAGAACTGTGGATTTTAAGACATACATTTTTAACATAGACACAGAAAAGGTCTATGTTGTCTTGATGGTTCATGAATGAGGTCTATTTCTGCATACATACATACATATACCCCTAGTTGCTATAGTACAAAGATCTTGCATGTATTTTATGAATTTATCCTAAAGAATTATTTTTGCTCTCTCAATTGTACTGAACATAGAAATTTAACTGTTTCATCTTTATGTTTGCTGTTGTACCCTATAAAGTTGCTGCATTCATTCATTAGTTATAACAGTCTTTTAGGAGTTTCTATGTAAATAACTGTCATCTGAAGCAGAGGTTTTCTTCCTTAACTTTTTAAAAAAATCTTGACTTATTGCAATGTCTAAGAAATAATAAGGCACAGAAGAGCTGGAAGCAGGTTGTTCTTCTTGCTAAGATTTAAGAGGGAATCCTTCAGTTTCTTATTACAGATGCTGTGAGCTGTGGAGTTGCCATAGATTCCTCCCCAATCCCCAAGACAAGGTTTCTCCGTATGGCCATGGCTGCCCTGGAAGACCAGGCTGGCCTC